AATAATATTGTATCTTATTATATGATATAAATATATATATATATATAAAATATTATATTTGTTTTTGTATATGTGTATACATGAAATATAATATTATATTTGTTACCTCACTAAGACAGTTACCTTTGGGGCACAGAGAGGGGAACTGAAGTTAGACAAGATGGTCAAAGAAACTTAATTTTGTTGGTTAGATATTTTATAGAACGGATGCGTTTATACATTTCTAATGAAATAAAAATAAAGCTTCAAAAGTTGATGAAAGTAGAGCTGCTCTGGTTGAAGGAGAACCATAAGTCATGTACAGAAACCCAAATCCCTCCCTTGCTTCTGGAACTATTTTGGACATACTAGAGCTGAGTTGGAAAAACTTATTGATTCCAAATATTCATTTTTAAGGCAAGGAAACTGAGACCTAGGAATTGCAGGAATATGTACCTTGTCTAAGACTTTCAGTGTTACTTTCTTAAAATCACGGACAGTCAGAATCTCCCTTCTTTTCCCTGCACAACTCCTGCATGCACCCTCCAATGAGGATCCAGACTGCCTTGGTAACAATCTGTTTAAATTTAACATGAGCATGCTATAAATGAAGGTTAATGACTTAATGATGAACAGCAGAAATTAAAGTATAGGGAGATGGATTGCACTCATGTATCCATGAACTCAGAGTCTCTGATTGGAGAGAATAAGAGGAAACTCTAGCAGTTCCACTTCCAACTTAGAGGTGAGTATGGTTCCTGCCTGTGGTCACCAGCCTTCAGACAGCAGGCTCTCAGCAGAGACAGGGAGTGCAAATGGGGACCCAAGGGCAGTGTGGCTCGATGAGGGGGTCAAGATGTGGATATCTGCTCTGGCAGTGTCACCACTGCATTTTTTACTCACTCAAGAAATATTTGAGGATTCAGCCAGATTCCTGAGAAGCGCGCAGAGATTGTAAATAGAATATGGTCCTCCTCCCTCATAGCCAGGGAGCCAACAAATAAAAAAATCGTGATTGCAAATTGTGAAAATGCTCTGAAGGGAAGTAACTGGATATAACGATGAATGGTAAGAGCAGGGATGAAATCTAGTTTAGACTAAGTGGTCCAAAAAGGCCTTTGTAAGAAGGGATGTTCAGGGAGGGTCAAATAGGACTCATCTGTACTAGGGGGCACATCTGTTGTCCTGAGAAAGAGCTACCGGTAAACAAAATACTCATAAATCAAAGCACATGGTATGTTCAGATGCAAAGTGCCTATGTTGAAAGAATCCTGCTGTGAAGGCATGGTTGGTTTGAGAGCAGAAATTCCCAAATGTATGTAGTCATCACTGGCCCTGGCTCCAATGAGGATGCCAACAAGAAATCTGTGGTTCTGTGAGGCCCTTGGGTGGCAGCAGCTGACGTGGCCCATGTGCCTGGCTGCTTGACTTGAAACTTGAGACAGTTGGGTAAGGATATTGGAATATTATATTATATATAAAAGAAACAGTATCACTTCAGTTTGCTCCTTTACTAAGCCATGCTAAATACCAGGCGCCACCTATATGAAGAGGAATACAGCCTACCACTCGCCTCCAGTGGATGGCATGGTTTCAGATGTTTCAAAGTGGTGGTCTACAGACAGGTTTTATTTCGGCTGGTACGGTGTATACATTTTTTAAAACTAGTTGTCAACATTTTCATTTGAGCTATTTCTCATAAAATCTTGATTTCTGGCTTCTACAAAAGGCCAGTGTGGTATAATTTGGTCAACATCTACCACTTCCCACTGGATTTACAACGTCAGCTTTTCTAATTTTTTCCTCCCTCCCTCCCTTTCTCTTTCTTTTTTTCTTTTTTTGTACTGAGGATCTAACCCAGGGTCTTGTACATATTTGACAAGTGCTGTACCACTGAGCTAGAGCTCTGGACCCCCTCTTTTAGTGCATATTAGTTAAATAGAGTAATGGATTTTATCTGGCATATTTGAACATGTATATAGAATACTGTGATATTTTTATCCCCTGTTATTCTTCTTCCCCTCTTTTTCCCCTTCCCCTTATTCCCTTCCATGTCTTTAGTAATCTCATTTCTACTTTCATGTCAGTGCTTTTGTTTCGTTTGTATTCCACTGATGGAAGACACTGGATAGTTTTCTGTGAGTCTGGCTTATTTCTCTTAACATGATGATGCCCAGTTTCATCCATTTTCTTGCAAACAACATGATTCCCCAGTGCTTTTCCAGTTTTATTTTGAGAGAGGGTCTTGCTAAATTACCAGGGCTGGCCTTAAACTTGTGATACTCCTGCCTCAGATTCCTGAGTACTGAGATTACAGGCCTTCTCCACCATGCCCAGAAACTTGCCCCCTTTTTATTTTCTGCCTGGCCTCTCTGGGCATGATAATTTGAGATCCCTGCACTAGAATTAGTAAGAGAAGACCAATTAACTCTGGGTACTGGTAGGATAATGCAAGATTCTTAGCAGGGTTGCAGCACAAATGGTATCAGCAACAAAGTGGGAGATGTTGGTCACCCATGTAGATGTGCGGTTGGGAAGATGGGATGAGATGGGGGCAGCTACACTTGCATTTGAGTTTATTGAATTTTTAAATTTTTAGTATTTTTCATAATTGATATTAGCTTGTTAACTGATATTTTTACTTGTTGATTGTGTATCCCCAGTAGGCTGTGAGCTCTGTACAGGCAGACGCCTTGTCTGTCTTGCTTGCTCTGTTTCCTTTGAATTTAAAACACTGTCTGGAATACAATACATACAGCACATGTTCATTACTTGTCCAATGAATTAACAAATTTGCTTTTCTGCAAATTTGTTATAGTGATTACCACAGCTGGCACATGGCCATCTTCAGGAGGTGTCCTTGGGAATTACCAGGCTGTCAGGCATCTGAAAGAAGAAAGAGGAGTAAGGGTGGAAGGAGTAGTCAGAGGATGAGAAAGACCTAGACAGTGAAGACCCAGAGGTCAAGGGAGGAAAGAAAACAATGGCGGGCAATCAGCAAAGTCCAGACTGCTGTGGGGAGCAGGGGATGAGGGCCAGTGATGGGAGGCCTCAACCTAAGCTACTGGCCTCCAGAAAGTAGGAGAGGAAAGCCAGTACTGAGCAGTTTGCGTGATGGAGAAAGTGTGAAGCCAGTATTTTAAGGTTTCAGTTCAGTTTTGAGAAGTTATTTTTATTATTGCGGCAAGCAGATGATTTTGAGCCCCTGTGTGGTGAGAAGGAGAATGACGATATAAAATAGTGGGTGACATCCTACTTTATAGCAGGTAGAAATTGTGATAGGTACAATTAGGAGGATTAAAAAAGGAGACACCTATTCCTTGGGATAAGAGGAGGGGGAAGCAGGAATCATAAACTCGCCAGAAATATGCGCTCCTAAAAGGTCTTCATTTAGGGGAAGATTCTAGAAGCCTTGGATGTAATCTAAGTAAGTAATGAACAAATATGGACATAGCTTTGCAAATGAGAAGGGCTGTGTATATCTATCTTAATAAATAATTTGTCCTTAGGGGAATTTGCAAAAGCATTAGGTAATTTGCCTCTAATCCATTGCTTCCTGTTCCTTTCCAAGACTTTTGCAGAAGCACTTTTTGGGTGCTACCTTCATGGTGGATTAAATATTTGGTAATTAAGTGAGAGAAGAGCTCTTATCTTCAGCATAAAGGGAAATGGATGAGGAGAAATACTACCAGGAGTGGGCCTTGTGGGTGGGAAGGGGAAAGAGAATTATGAGAAAGCTAGCTTTGTCTTAAAACCTTGTGACAGTATTGAGTATATTGTTTTTGGTATTTTTATCTTGTGATGTCAAGAAACATTTGTTCAGTGAATGAATAAATGTAAGGTCAGACTGCACACAAAAGCTGGCAGGATTAATTTAATGTGAAGGTGTCCACAATTGTTTCTCCTGGTTCTGTTTATTTCAGCTGTAAGTATTCCTTCAAAGTAGTAAGTGTAAATGTTTTCCTGTAATAAGATTGCCAGACTGTCATGACCGGTTTCTTGGTCTTTTGGGAACTCGACCTACCCAATGTCCAGGGAACCTGTGCTGTCTCAGACAAACCTCAGCCTGTCAGGGATGACCAAGAAGAGGCATTAAGGGGTGGCTTCTGGACTCTGGCTGGCGTCAAATCCTGACTGTGTTGGGTTAGACTAGAGAAGTTACCTAACTTCTTCATAACTCCATTTCCTCATCTGTAAAATAGGTATAATAATATTTCCTGGCTCTTAGGATGCTTTTTGAAGATTTAGATAATACAGGTATAGGATGCAGAAGATCTCCTTGCATAGAGTATTCAGTAAGTGTTCTTAACTATTATTACTGGAAGTTAGTTTCCCTCCAGAACAGTTAAAAATTTATTTACTATGTATGATTTAACCTTTTTTTTTTTTTTTTGGTTTTTCTCCGGTACCGGGAACCGAACTCATGACCTTGCGCTTGCCAGGCAGGCGCTTTTGCTGCTGAGCTAAATCCCCAGCCCCAATTTAACATTTTTTGAAAATACATTCTGTGCGATTGTGTGTGTATGACTTTGTGTGTATGATTTTTTTGTGTGTATATTTGTGTGTGTGTGTGTGTGTAGGGGGAGAATGAGAAAGGACATTATTCTTGGAGGTGGAAGTTTCGGGGCCTGGAGGTCTACTTCCTATTTACAAATCATCCTACAATCAGCTACTGAGAGGTGAAGTGACTTGCCCTGATGATATTATGAGTAATGGCTGAAACAAGTCTAAGTACTATACTTTTTGACTCTCAATCCAGTGTCTCTTTTATTAAAGCCAATTTCCAGGAAAGCTTGTTAGTTTTTCAGAAATCACCCCAAATTATGTACCAATTCAGTTTTCTCTAAATTGGTCACAGTAAGTTGAAGAGGGGGAACTTGGAGGAGAACATCAGTCCGCCCGGCCAATAGATGGCGCTGAGGTCTTGTCGGCGGCGTTGGTGGGGCGGGAGGGGCGGGACTCTGGAGGACCGCGTCGGACGGATTATCCAATTAGAAGCGCCTTCGTCACTGTGGTGCCTTCTAGGGTGGCCGCCCGCGGAAATATGAAATGACAGCGTGCTGTCTGGGGGCTGAGGGCGGGGCACCAGGGCGCCCTGGGCAGCGGAGGAGGAGAAAGGTAAGCACTGGGGATCCTGGGTGGGGCGTCTGGGTTGCAGGTCTTCCGGACTCGGTTGGCCAGGGTGGCGTGATGTCCTGGAGATCAGAGCCCGGGGTACCGGGGCCAGTTTCCTCTCCACATCTCTCTGGCCTTAGCTACCATGAGACTGGATGGAGTCGGAGTGGGTCGGGACCTCCCTACCTGCACCGATTACAGGGAGATTTGTAATCTTACGGAAGACTCATCTTTTTCAAATGAATCGCAGAGGAGATCAAGAACTACACTTCCCTTCTTCAAAAAAGAAGAAAACTTGAGCCTTTAGCCTAGATAGTTGTCCTGACCATGAGAGGCAAGTGACCTGCCCAAGTGAGGGGGGCTAAATTGGGCCGTAGTCCAGAAGTAGAACCCAGGTCCCCGAATTCTCCTTTCTGCCACTTCATGGAGATTCCATTATTGTTATTAATATTAACATTAATACTGTTGTTTCGCGGTGCACCACTGAGCCACATCTCTAGATCCTCAGTACCTTTTTTTTCCCTGACATTTTCATCTGGTTTATGTTCTTTAGTTCTGTCGGTTGTATTATGCAGTAGAAAGAGTTCTGACAAAGTGAAAAAATATAGGTATGACTTAATTCCACTATTGAACCGCTCTGTGAGCTGGTAAGAGTTGCTGAGGTTCAGCTTTCGCCCTTGGAAAACAGAGCTAAAGGTTCTATTTGTGATGAGCATGAAGTGAAATAATGTGTGAAGAGTCACATTTTTGAAGTGGCCATAAAGAAAGGCAAATACTGCATGTTATTACTTACATGTGGAATCTAAAGAAGCTGCATTTAGAGAAAGCAGTGTAGATAGTGGTTACCTCAGGTGGGGGAAAAGAGATATTGATCAAAGGGCGCAAAGTGTTAGGTGTGAGATCAATAAGTTCTGAGAGACCATGGTATCTACAGTTAATTAATAAGGCATTATATATTTGAAATTTGATAAGAGTACATTGTAAGCATTCTCACATGGAGGGAGGGAAGGAAGCAGGGAGAGAGAGAAGAGAAAAGGAGAGGAAGGAGGTGATGGCAATGTTAAGTTTATTGTGATAATCATTTCCTAATATACACGTCATGTATACCTTAAATACATACAGTTTTTGTCACATCTCAGTAAACTGGAAAAACAAAAAGAGCCAGTAGATATATTATGTTGAAATAAGGTACTATTTCTCTTAACAAACATATCCTATGTAATGGGTACTGTTGTAAAGGGTTAAGAAATGATTTATTAATTTTTAATTGAAATAGGAATACTACTTTCATCTTTATAAGCTAGGAAACAGACATAGATTGTTACACAGTTATTCAGGTATTGATGCCCTCTGAGGACATTTTTGTTGATTTTTAATTTTTTTTTTTTGCAATTCTCGAAGGCTTATGTGCATCAATGTTTGTGAGCAATAGATTCTTAAGTATACTTCAGTCATATGTGGGGTCAGGGTAATTCTGATGGCCTGAACAGAGACAAAGAAATGGAAGGAAGGTGAAAAAGAAAGGAGAAAATAAAGGAATGTGGGAAAAGAAAGACTGCTGCTGACAACAGTCTCATGTACCTTATGTGAAATTATCTCTGCAAATTACTCTGGTAGTTTAAATGCCACTCTTTGCATCATTTATTAGTAATCATTTTGTCTATAAAGAAATCTTTTTACACAGAATTAGATATACCACTGGCCACGTCACACTGTATGAAACATTACATACAGACTAAACCTAAGGTGATTTGCATTTTCTGAGCTTTTCCTTAGACAAAGTCATTGAAATTTGTGAGGAGGAACCTAGTAGCTTTAGTGAGGTAAACCTTATGCATTATTAAGATTCTTTCACCCCTGTTACTTGAGAGGCCATTGACAGAGTCATACTGTACATAATAAAGGGAAGCTTGCATTCATTTGACAGCAAAAAAGCAAATCATCCTTTTTAAAAAAAATGTAGTTTGGTAGAGTTGTTTTGGGAGAAAAATAAACTAAAATACTTAACCATTATAATTTGCTAATTATAGCAGCAAAAATAAAAGTCATAACTATAATCCTGTGGAGAACTTGGATTATTTGTAAAAGATAATTCTCTTCCTCTACTTCCCTGTAAACCTCACAGAATAGTATCATCAAAAACCTAAATAGTGAGATATCCTAAGCTTGTACTGTTCTGAAGTAGAATTTGATTCTTTTTTTTTTCTTCTTTTTTGATACCAGGAATTGAACTCAGGACCTTGCAATTGCCATGAAGGTGCTTGTGCCACTGAGCTATATCCCCACCCAGGCTGAAGTAGAATTTGAGATCTGAGGTGTTTTTATGTTTTGAAAACTAGTTTCTTCTAATAGAGGTAAGTATTCATTCCCAACTCCTTATTTGCGTTTTGCTTGGAATTCCTAAGCAAGGATGTGAAAATAAAGACACTCTACAGTGAAAGTATCTTATAGTTGAGCCTGTTTACTTTTGTTGTTCTTTCAGTTTGTCTCAAGATGAAGATTTATGCAGTAATTGTAGCTGTTGTGATAAGTTTATATTCATTTTCAAATTTTATGCCAGAACAAAAATCCTTTTCTTAGAAATTTTCCAAGCAAGTCAACTTTTGTTTTAGGAATGAGTCAGAGACCACCAAGACTATATTTTAGGTGAGTAGTTTCTCTTACTTGCTTCTTTTATCTTTTTAGTTTACAGGTAGATTGTATCTTAGTCCTGAATGCCAGTAGTTGGTTCTGAGAAAAATGAATTTAAATAGATTTATTAACTTCTCTGCTTTTTGCCTTCTCAATTCTTATTGTGTTTAATTTGTTTACAGCTGACTGCGAGGTCTCTGAAGTAAGGGGATTCACAACGGAGTTCTTACAAGAGGTCCTTGAACCATCTGGATGGTGGGCAGTCTGGCCCACTAATGTGCTTGAGGTACTGGTTGAGGTAAATTGAATTCTGTTGTTAAGACATTTGTCTGTAGCTATAAGCACTTTACTTCAGACTGTGATGGCCAGATTACTTATTTTTAATTAAAGTTTATGAGCTGATTGAAAATAGCATGTTTTTCCCATCAAATTGCCATGGTGTGTGAAGTGTTCTGCAAATTTTAAAGGCAACTGAGAAACTACCAGGAAATTAAGGTGGTTTAAGTGTCACTGTCCTTTGACAAGGGGAAATGGGTTGTAAACCTGCGAAATGGAGGAGGTATTTGAGATCATTTAAAAATTAAGGAGGCCTACTTATGAAGTCAGTGGAGTTTCAATTAATTTTTTACCTTCTTAACTGTGGCCCATTAAGCAGCTCAAACCAAAAAGCATTTAAAAACTAGTCCATGTTTTGTCTAACAAATTTGTAGAAACGTGGTTAATCTCTTGATAATGTATCCCATAGCAGAAAGTAAAAAAAAAAAAAAAAAAGAGAGAAAAATCTTATTTTTCAACTGGCTGGGCCTTTTACATTAAATTTGCACTCTAATTACAGCTGTGAATTTTTCTCAGTGTTTGTGAACTGGACCACAAAAGAACCCTGTTAAGCTAAAATGTTAAACCAGGGAGTGTGACTACAAGTTGTTGCTGGGGCTCCTTTAGAAAATGACATCACATACTGCAGTGATTATGTACAGAGCAGTGGGCTGCAGCTGTTCCTTGTGAATTTTTAAAGTTTGGATTATGCTAATATCTTTAGCTGAAGTTCAGGTCTATTAATTTCCTTATGGTACTTCCTCTCTTCCACTTCGATTTTCTAAAAGTAGTCGAAAATCATTGTTTTAAAAGAGTAGTATGCCATTTCTCCGCTTACAACCCCTAATGCATTGCGTTCACCAAGGGCCCACTGCTGGCTTTACAGCCTTGTATTGCACAAGAGAGCAGGTAAAGTCAGAGCTCCTTCTCATGCTCTTCATGTCACGATCTTCTTGCCTTTCTCTCCCACCGCTTCTGTTGCTGTCTCTCTTCATCTCTAATCTCTGGTTCCAGGAAGAAGCACTGCTTTTCCGTTCCTTTCTGCTCCTCCAGCTGCCAAGTCTCAGGGACTCCTGCACTTTCTGTGCTTTTAGATGTCTGCTTCCATTTCATTCTTCTCAGCTCTGAGGTGCCATCCCATGGCCATCCCAGTGAAACTAGATCACCACACTTTTGGTTATTCTCTATTACTTACCATCATCCCGATGCATTTTCTTCCTGATTACAGTGTAAGTGCTCTCAGGGGAGAGCCAGTCCAGTCTCGTTTATCACTTATATGATGGAAGAAGGCCCCTGCCCCTATTTCATGCTTATAACAAAATTAGTCTATCAACAGTGTTTCGTGTGTGTCTTAATTTTGATTTCTGTATGTTAAACTGAGTCACATTATTCTAAATGTCAGGTTACAGGCGTGGACTTTTCCCCTCGAAGGCATCACTCGGGCTTGCCAAGCTGTGTGTCTGTGAATTTGAAGTGAGCGCTTTTACCTTGGAGTATATGAAAGAGCTCCTCGATCTGAAGGAGTATCAGTTGCCTCTGCAGGCATCGTGGGTGGTGTTTGATGATTCGAGGGGGTTTGATCAGACAGCTCTTGCAACTGTCAGGTAGGAAGAGAAGCTGACAAAACTAACCTTGTACCAGAAACTTAACTGTCGCTGCAATATTTTTAAATATTCAGGGGTTTTCTTTGGTGTGTTTTGTGTGGGTATGTGTTTGTTTGTTTTGTTTTGTTTGTTTGTAGTACTGGGTTTTGCACACAGGGCTTTGTAAGTGTTAGGCAAGTGCTCTGCCAATGAGCTGTATCTTCGGCTCCTAGGAAAATCTTTTAAATTTTAAAAATGTAACAAATATTTTAAATTTAGGAAGTTTAAAAAATGTTTTAAACATTCCTTTTGTGATCGTTTCAAACTTACAGAAAGGTGAGCAAATAGTACATTCGCATTATATTGATATTTCATGAAAGCAATGAACTAACATCTATGTCTCAGGCCCCTCAGTTTGAAATAGTGAGGAACAGGAGTTGGGAACAGATGCAGGTGCTCAGTGAGTTTCAGGAGCTGAAAGGCCAGTGTGGTCAGAGCACAGACAGTACCGCAAGAGCCCTAATAAACTAAGTGGGAGTAGTCGGTGGGGTCGACAGGTTCAGGGCTTTGTCAGCCAGTTAATAATTTTTGTCTTTAAGAGCAGTGGGAAGCCACTCCAGGGCTTTCATTCTTGGGAGAATATGATCGATGTTGTGTTTTAAGAGGTTCATTGAGGCTTGTTTGTGGGAAAACAAATGGGAAGGGAATAGGGAAGTCTGTCGAGAGGCGAGAAAGAGCTGGGATGGGAATATGTGGAGGACAGAAGATTAATTAAGAAAGTAAAGTGGCTGGGAGTTAGTAGTCGAGTCGATACGAGAGGTGAGAGATGAGCAAGTATGGGAGGAGTCAGGACCAACTTCCAGGTTTCTGGCTTAAAAGAATAAGCAGCAAAGGAGGTGCAGATGTAAGTGATATGTAAATGCCTGGTGCCACAGTGGTGAGCACAATATTTAAGCTGAGTTATGCGTTGTAAATATGAGTTTACCAGGTAGAGAGGAAGAAAGCTTTGACCAGCATGTTACATGGCAATTGGAAAGACCTTGGGAAATTGGTAATGTATATATAAGGGCTCTGAGGCAGGAGAGGTCCTTTAGAGCCATAATATTAATACATATATTGTCACCACAATCAAGACTCCACTCTGAGGGCCACAGGAAGCCAGTAGAGTTTTTTTGTTTTGTTTTGTTTTGTTTTTGTCTTAAGCATGAAATAGCTTCATGTTCTCATATTTAGTCAACATTTTTCTGCTCTTACCTTGCCTGACCTGGCCACATTCTAGGCGTTTGATCAACTCCATCTTCTTGACAAACTTTCCTCTCGGCTTCTGGGACACAGCTATTCACATGGTGTCTCACTGGCTTGCTTTCTTAGTCATCTTGGACATCTCTTCCTCTCATGCTCACATTTACCATGTTGAAGTCGCCCAAGGATCAATCCTGTGACATTATTTTAGTTTGTTTTCTATTGCTATAAAAATACCACAGACTGAAGAACTTATAAAAAGTAATTCTTTTTCTTTTTCTTTCTTTCTTTCTTTCTTTCTTTCTTTCTTTCTTTCTTTCTTTCTTTCTTTCTTTCTTTCCTTCCTTCCTTCCTTCCTTCCTTCCTTCCTTCCTTCCTTCCTTCTCTCTTTCTTTCTCTCTCCCTTTCTTCTCTCA